CCTAAAGAGTATTGTGACATTTATGGTCAGAAACAAAAGTGAAGATGTTGGTATATTACAGTAGGGTCCTTAGTCTGGTCAACCATAATTTAAAATGTAGACATCTGGTGCCCACTGCCCATTTTGTACAGGCAGCTTTTTTGTTGTGTGAAGAGGGACGAGTTGCTTTCATTGTGCTATTTTGTTTCATCCTCTATTGCCTCATTGTGTGTCTTGATTCCTCCCTTCGGCCCTACAGAGTACACATTGTGAATGCTTAGAAAATGTTGATAGTGAGGAAGGGGAAACTTTCCACAAGTCATATGTAGGTATGCTGTGGAACTATATTGTAAAGCAGGGCTTTTTAAACTTTTTCCACTTGAGACCCCTTTTTCATTTTGATATATTGGTATTGCATGGCCTGAAGGCGTGCACAGTACAAAGTGCACATGCTTTGTGTTCAGAGCCAAGGCTTCAGTGAAATTGCACAATGCAACACAGGCAAGTGCAGCCAGAAACACCTTCACTACATTTTTGATTTTGAATTAATTTTGGGTTGTTGTGTTTTCAGAAAACTTTTCCTGTTGCCAAATTTGTTGGGACCCCCATGTGAGGTCTCGACCAGTTTAAGAAGTGCTGCATGAGTGTAGAGGATTCTAGTACTGCGAGTCAGGAATCCTGGGATCTAGCGTTGGCTAATTAATTCATTTGACAAAGGTTTATTAAGCACCTTCCTCATTGAAGAGTCTGCAGGGGATAAAGAGATATATAAGGTGAATCTCTGCCTAAAGGGGCTTACAGTTTGGTTTGTATGTTACCTGATCCTTGCCACTGACCTCAATGATAATCTTTTCATCATCTTCAGATTTTACCTGGCTCATAATCTTCTCCAAACTTCTAATACTCTGTTATCATCTTTGATGACTTCAGTATACACGCAGAGGACCCTTTTAACACTCAGATCTCTCTGTCCATCCTCTTGCCATGGTTCCTCCACGAAGTGTTTCCCGCTCTTCCCACCTGAACTTAATCTCTTGCTCTTAACATTTTTGCTATATTAGGTACTTGGGTGTTTCTGACCTCCCCCAATTTAGACTATAATCTCCTTGAGATCAGGGGCTGTCATTTATAAATCTTTGTATAGCCAATGTGTAGTACACAGTGTCTGTACACAGTAAGTTATTTCGATGTGTAAGTATGTGTGTGTTTATGTGTATATACACATGTGTTTGTGTTTAAATATAATACAAAGCATTTATCTATCTATTTATTTGGAGGACAAGATATGAACCACCAACATCTAGGGTAAATCACAGAAAAAGCCTCATTTAGTAGGTGGTATATGAACTGAGTAGGGAAGGGGTTTTTCCTACCTGGGACGAAGATACATTTAAAAAGGCTTTGTGGTAGAAAGTTAGGCTTGAGGGTAGAAGGGAAAGGAAAAAGCAAAGTTGTAGCTTTGCTAGGGACAGGGGTGAAGGAGAAACAGACAGAAAGAAAGAACACATTACTTTTCTGGAGTAAAGTAAGTTGTCCCTTTCTCTTGACAGTTTCAGAGTCTATTTGTTGATCTCATGACAGCTGCTAGCCTGTACCATAGGAGCTAACTGTGTTTGAACTGACACTGTGCTTGGATGTAAACAGCTAGAGAACACTTACACAATGATCTCATCCTATGGGCTCAGGGGTTTATTCTCGGTAGGGAGGATTAATAACTCACTAGAGCTTATCTGGGAAATAAATGAAATGTCTAAGTCTTCCATTCTCCAACATATTAATCTGGGTCTTGCTGGGAAATCAGGAAAGGTGCTTAAAGCCTTGGGCATAACATGAATTCTGCTTGGTGATTGGGAATCAGATCATTGGGAATCAGATTTCCCAGGGTTCTAAGAACCAGGGATGGAAGGAAGATCTGAAGATATTAGATGCTGTAGAATCCAAGGAGAATTAAAGAGGCCTGTTGGAAGGTGGCATGGCCTTGTGCCCATGGAGTAAAAACAAAATGGATGAAAACAAGAATGGAAGCCTATCTTGATGGTAGAAATGGCCATTTAAGCTGAAGAGTAAAGTTCATTCAGTGTGTGGTACAAGTGAAGCTAAGAGACCTAGAAGATGAGGTATAGCTTATCGCAATAATGCTAATTGTTTATACCAATAATACCAATTTTAAAGACAATATTTATTTTGTAATGTGTTAACTGGTACCCTGAGAAATTGCGGCATGTACAGATATGTTTCTTGGTCCTCCATCTATCATCATGTTTCTACTTGGTATAGCAGAAAGAACATGAATTTGCAGTCAGAGTTTGGTTTTGTTTCCTGGTTCTGCAATATACAACAGTTGGGTGACACAATGATTATTCTGGGCTCTGGAGTCAGGATGACCTGAGTTCAAATCTGGCCTCAAACACTGCCTAGCCATGTGACCCTGAGCAAGTCACTTAATTTGTGCCTATCTCAGTTTCCTCAATAGCACACTACCTCCCAGAGTTGTGAGGATCAAATGAAATACATGTAAAGTACTTAGCACACTGCCTGCCACACAGTGAGCACTTAATAAATGCTTATTTCCTTCATTACAGTATCATCTTGGACAACTTGTTTAACCCTTCTCTGGACTTTTGATTTTGTCATCTGTAAAACAAGGGGACAAACGCCTATGGTTCTTTCTAATTTAGACCTTATGATATAGTCAAACCATATCTGTAATTATTGCCTTCAGTTGTGGGTGTCATTGATCAGGTAGAGCATGTCTACAAAAAAATTGACAAGTTAAAATTAGGGGAAAAATTCATTTTAGGAAAAAAAGTTGTTTTTCTAAATCTCTAAACATAAATACAGTTCAAGGAGACCTGCATTCAAATCCAGCTTTAATTATTAGCTGTGTGACACTCTGGGAAAGTCACTTAACCTTGGTTTGCCTCAATTTCCTTGACTGTTAAATGAGGCTAATGACAGCATCTATCTACCAGGGTTGTTGTGATAGTCAAATGAGATAAGACTTACAAAGTGCTTAGTACAGCATCTGACATGTAATAGGCACTATTTAAGTGCTCCTTCCCTGCCCTGCCCTATGCTTGCTGTGGATAGATAAAAGACAGATGACACATAGTCCCTCCAGTTCAAAGGGACAGAAATAATGACAACAAGAAGCAGAAAGTATTGGGAGGTGGTCTGAAGAGAGAGATATCACTTTTGCCTAGAGAAAACTTCAGGGAGAATCATCATATGTCAGGTGGGCCTTGAGGATGGATAGAATGTTAGCAAGTTAGACAGTGAGAGATAATGGGGAGATATGAAAACCATTCCAGGTATAATATGAGTAGAAGCAGAGAAGTGGGAAAATCTGAGTTGTGCTCAGAGAATGGCAAGTTATCCAGTTTGGATGGACCATGGGAAATTAACCTGCAAGAACTAAAACTGTATTGGAGGTGGTGCCCTAATCTTTTACCAGACCTTCCCTAACCTCATGTCATCTACAAGCTGAAAAACTACTCAAGGGTAGATTAAGCAGTTGATATACAATATATCTTCATTATCCTCAGTTTCCATATTTGAGCATTTGCTTGCCTGATAAATTTATCTGTAACCCCCAAATCAATACCACAGAACCATGCCTGATACACACATTCCCAGCTGAGGCCAAGATCAAACAAAGTAAATGCTCTGCCTTGTTTCGCCTCTCATGATGGAAATCAGTGTCCTTTTGGCCATCAATTTAGTGCTATATTTTTCACATTTTTGTGTTTTTGTTAGTAATTTTGATGTTTAAAATGGCCCCCAATTATAGAGCTGAAATACTGCCTAGTGTTCCTAGGCATAAGAAGGCAGCAATATATTTTACAGAGAAAATACCTGCGTTAGATAAGCTTCATTCAGTTATGAGTTTACAATGCTGTTGGCCTTGAGTTCATGTTAATGAATGAGCAATGTGGCATATCCAGAAAAGGAAGAGGAATGTTGTTGGACTGCTCTGGAAAGTGGCACAGTAAATGCCATGACCAGAGTCTTTCAGGCACTTAACCCTGTAATTCCCTGTGTTCCCTAATGTATTGTTCCTGGAGACTTTATGAAACATACCTACTAGAAATAAGAATTGCATGTAAATGTGTTGATGTTCTAAAGGAAAGAACCACCTAGGTGGTTTTCTAGAAGTAGGTCATGTCAACCCATACATTACCTGAACTATTTGCCACTAAATCATGTGGATTTAGGACATAGTGTTGGGCTAGGAGAGAGCCGTGACTTTGCTCAGATAAGGTCTTTCATTAAGATAGTTATGCAATGGACTTTTCCTTAAGGTTGGAAGTTTTACAGTGACGAAGTCTAGGTGACGGCAGGAAGAAATTTTGATTTGTTATAGTCCCTCCAATCTATCTCCCGTCTCTGAGCCTTTGCATTATTTTTCCCAATGCCTATCTACTCCCACATCTCCCCTGCCTCTTAGAATCCCTTGTTTCCTTCAAAACTACTGCAACACATTCTATATGAAGTCTTTCTTGAACCATCCCCCAGCTACTAGTGGCCTCCTCCCTCAAATTTACCTTACATTTATTTTGAATATATTTGGTATACCCTTAATTATGTGCATGCTTTTTCTTCTGATTGCATATAAATTGTCTTAAAGGCAAGAACTGCTTCATTATTGTATTCCTAGCTTCAGCCCTTAGCACAGTGACTGGGCCATAGTAAGTATTTAATAAAGGCTTGTTTATTTGTTAACAAAATTACATACATTTAATAAAAGTGAAAATTATCTTTAAGTTTTTTGAATCCTTTTATTTTTAATGGAACAGATATTTCCTGGTACATTCCCTGCCCTTCCCGTATCAAGAGAATATTCCAGTATTTATTTTTGTTGCATGCTCAGTAGTTCAAATTTTGTTAGATGACTTGTTATAGTGTCTTAAGCTGTTCACAGTTAGTGAACAGCTGAGGTCAGATATTTTCAGGGATTTGGACATATGTATTTTTCTTGTAGATTTCAAAACCATAAGCTCTTTTTTTTTCTTGCCTTTCAGGAACTTAGAAGCCTTGAAGTAACAAGAAGAAAAGGTAAGAAAGCATTTCTATCAGCTGTTGTCATTGGGAAGTAATTTTCTCCAGCTGAAGGAAACTGCAGATTTGCTGGTTGCGTGTTGTTTGAATTTCACCTATTTTTTTTTTTTTGGTGGTGGGGATGGTGAGTGGCGAGCTTATGTCTTTGATCTCTGTAATTCTCTGAGAACTGGTCTCCAGAAGTTTTCTTTAAAAATCATACCCTCCTGCCCCTATTTCTAGAAACTGAACTGAGGGATAAGGAATCGCCATTTCTTTCTGAGCAAGTTCTTGCATTGCTTGATTAGAAATTTCCTTGTTGAGTAAAGTGTCAAGCTTCCAGATTGAAAGTGGCATGATAATAACCAGGCTTAACCCATGGAGAATATTCTTGCCACAGATTTCTAGTTTGCAATTTAAGATATTTCAGTTGCTGAGAAGGTTAGGAAGCGACCATGGAAAATCTTTGTACTGAGGCTTGCTGAAGCCTTTAGAAAAAAGTCAGTTGAACTGAAAGAAGAGAGCTAATTGTCTCTAAATTAATTTATTTTACCTCTTAAGAAAGCACAATAATGTCCTCTTTTACCCTCCATTATTGCTTCTAGCAGGACTTATTTCTTAAGGAGGAAATCACATGAGTGTTAATCCTATGCAATCTTCTGGTTGTACAAGAGGATTATTCTTGCTTATTTTTAAAAATCCTTTTAGTCACCAAAGACCAGAGAGAAAGAGAGAGAGAGAGAGAGAGAGAGAGAGAGAGAGACAGACAGACAGACAGACAGACAGACAGACAGACAGACAGATATGAGAGAGACACACAGTCTTATCATCATCATCTTTCAGTTACCAGTGCATTAGTGGATTACCAGTGGATCACACCCCTTCTTAAGCATTATGATTGTTGTGTGTAATTATTTCTTATTATACAAGGTGTCCCAAAAGTCTTAGTGCTCTAAGACTGTATATAGACATGATGGTACAGTGGGGAAAAGCATTAGATTTAGAGTCCACAGACCTGGGTTCAGATCCTGGCTCTGATAATCACTACTTGTAGGACCTGGAGCAAACCATTTAAATTCTTGGATTTCATTTTTTTTCCTGTCTAAAGAAAGGAGTTGAACTACATGACCTCTAAATTCTCTTCCATCCAGCTCTAAATGTGTGTGTGTGTGTGTGTGTGTGTGTGTGTGTGTGTGTGTGTGTGTTGAAAATTTTCCCATCTCATTAGTTTGGATACATTGCTATTTGTTTTGCTTCTATCCTGGGGAGTTTGGCTAGTGGCCTGTAAAGTCTTTGATTTTAACTAAAAATCCACCTCTGCTTGCTATACAGCAATTGGGATCTTTTGTGTACTCTTGTAAAAATTTCTGCCCTTTTGCTTTTAGCCCTCAAAATTGTTCTTTTTTCTGGACCTCCTATCATACGTATCCTGGCATGTACTACTATCTGAGTGAAGTAGAAATTCAGTGGCAAAATTAAGAAAACTGAGGCACTTCTTACACGGTGAGCTTTGTCCCTACTAGTATCCTTGCATATCAGTAGACTTGTTTGAAATAGAAAGAACTGACTTATTCTTTGGTGATATCCTGACTTTCTCTTGATTTGCTTCAGATAGTGCAGTTTTAACCTCCAGATGACAGTGTCAGCTTGGATAATCTAGTTACAGAATGAGAGACATTGAAAGAAGCATTCCTTGTTGGACATGACGTTTGCAAAGCCTGGTACAGCTCTGTAACTTAGATAATCCTCTCTCAGTCTATGATGGAGTCCTCCACGCGGTAGTCGGACATAATGATCTCACTAGAACAGTATCTCTTCCTGGTCCTCTATTGTGTAGGGCTCTGAGGTAGATCATGAGGGAGGAAAGGACAAGGTCACAGGATTGCCTTTCTAAGTTCCATTCCATAATGATCAAAGAAGGGATATGACTTACTAAGTTCAAGAGACTGACTGAATCATTCTTTGATTGACATCTATATTTCTATGTACATTCATACATGAAAAAAAGATAGAATGAGGACATGTGTATATCCATGCCAAAGCTACTCAGCTTTTTGTCTTGATTCAAGGATATTCCACAGTACAGATGAGGTACAGCCAGGACCTGACCATATGCTTGGGGATAAATTACCTTATATTTTAAGAGTATCCAAATATTCTTTATAACTGCAATACTCATAAGTAAGTTTAGATAAAAATGCAATCCAAGGTTGCTACAATTCAGTTGGTGCTTAGTGGTTTCTTTATGGATTTGCCACTTACACTGGCTGGTTTTTTTTTATGAATTTATTTTGATTTATCAACAATCACTTCCATGTGCTTTTGAGTTTAAAATTTTTCTCCTCCTCCCTCCCCACCACCCTCCCCAAGATGGTGTACAATCTGATGTAGGCTATCCATACATGTTCCTATTAAACATATTTTCACGTTAGTGATGTTGTAAGTAATAATTAGAACCAATAGGATGAACCACCAGAAAGAGCAAACAAAACTCAACAGAAGAAAAAAATAGCAAATAGTATGCTTCGATTTGCTTTCAAACTCCATAGTTCTTTCTTTGGATGTGGATAGCATTCCATCATGAGGCCTTTGGAGATGTCTTAGATCCTTGTATTGCTGGGAAGGTTAAGTTTATCAATATTAGTCATCGTACAATGTGGCTGTCACACTGGCTGTTCCTAATGACATCTCTTCTTTCTCCCTTTTCCCCAAGGAAGGGCTAAAATCTGACTAACCTGAATTGATTCTTCATTTTTCCATAGTGCTCCTATATACACTTGATGTATCATAGGAACAGAGTTTGGTAATTGTGAACTATCCTTTGGAGAAAGAGATTGGGCCGTATTACTTATACGATGAAATTGTGACTGGAGGAGCATTGTCCAAAGGGCTCCAAGGTAAACAGGGATTGTATAAAGTGGAAGGAAGAAGACATACACAGCAAGGGAGATGCATGACTACTATCTGATGTCATGTCTGATATCATTGAGTCTACAACGTCTTTAATTTGCATCTTGTACATTGAGCATGAGAGGTAGCATGACACAGTGCATTGAGAGCAAACAACAAACAGAAATACCTGGGTTGAAGTCTAAACTCTTATCACATACCAGTCACTTAACCCTACCAGTGTTCTAGGTAACTCTAAAGACTAAGGTTGCAGAGAAGTTACTGACCTGCATTTGAGGAGGGAGATTCTTTTCATCTAGGGGTTCCCACTGTCAATGAAATCACAGGTCCTATCCTTATCTCTGTAGTGATGTAAGTTTAATCTCTTCTGACTTTTTAATTCTTGAAGTAGAAATTTGTCTTGAGTGATTAGGATCTCACAGCTGTCCTGTGAGAGAGACTCTCTCTGTCACTCAGAGACACCTGAGAGGACCAAGTACACTTGCTGCTTTGTCACCAAAACTCTTAAAGAATGAGAATGAAAGGAAAATTCAAAGCTTCCTAGTCATTATTTCCCTTACTTGCAAATCATCTTGCTTTTATGGCCAACCAACTTTCAGCATGGATTTTCAGCAAATGTGGCCTGATGTTATATAACATTTTCCCTACCTGCTCCACAGAGCATCATTTATCTACTACTTGTTTCTGTCACGAACATGGGAACAAGCAAACCTCTCCCTTAATGTCACCAAGTCATACCACAGGCAGTCTATCTAAGGTGTATGTGAATGGTAATTCAAGGCTTGAGGCTGTGAATCTTCTGAAGATTCCAGTGTGTACTAAGGGGGGAAAATTGGAGAGCTGGAAGCATGAATCCATTTTCTATCATCAAATAAAAAGAAAACATTGCAGTCTAGCAGCAAATGCCTTAGGTTAGAGACACATTTTATGTTTAAACTTTTCTTTCCCAAGGGTTTTGGGATTTCTGGAGGCAGCATGACACAGTGGAAAGTTCGCTGGCCTCTGACGACCTGGGTTCAAATTCTCCCTCCATCACTTACTGCCAGTGTGGCTTTGGGCAAATCATTTGAACTCTTTGGGACTCTGATTCCTCATTTGTTAGATCTGGAGATTGAAACAGATGACACATTCTAAGCCTTTGATCCTATTAAGGACCAAGACCCTAAAGGGATAATCAATCTAGGACTAAATGGCTTTGAATATTCTAATCCACCTCCTCTTCCGGCGTCCTTCAAAGGTTATCTGCAAACTTAAGAGACCCTCTCTGACCTTCAGGAAAGTTCTCGGCTAGCTAGAGAATTTCTACATTTGTTCTCACTTCTTTTTTTTTTTTGTACTTTTAGGCAATTGGGGTTAAGTAACTTGCCCAGGGTCACACAACTAGTAAGTGTCTGAGGCCTTATTTGAACTCAGGTCCTCCTGACTCCAGGGCTGGTACTCTATCCACTGCGCCATTTAGCTGCCCCTTTTTTTTTTCACTTATGACTTTCTTAGGATGACAGAACTCTAGGTGCAGGTGATGGACATTCTCTTGTGAGTCATTCAAAGATGCTTTATGAGGTGGTGTGAAACATGAGTGGGTACTGTTAGTGGTGGAGGAATGGTTGGCGGTGGTGAGTACCTGAGCAAATCTGGTAATAGCAGGCTATTTTTCCTGTTAACATGTTGGCATGCTAGTTCAATTGACAAACATTATTCAGCATCTCCTATGTGCCAGGCACAGTGCTAGTACAGGGTACCCAAAGGTAGTAATCAAACAGTCTGCCCTCAAGGAGCTTGTATTCTGAGAAGAATACTCCTGCTTGTCTCTTTGCAGGTGTTCTATTAATTCAGTGCCAGACTTGTCAATGAGAAGCTGTTACTCCAAGATTTGCGGCTTCAAATAACCATGTTTAACCTGGGGTATCTGAGCTTCATTAGCACTGACAGGACCAGAACAGCAAGAGGAGCTGAAATATTTGCCTTTGAGGGGCTTGACTTATTGCTGTAGGAACAAGAGTTTTCTCTGAGATGATAGTTGCAAGGTTCATTAAACCTTTAATTGATGGAAGTTGTTTAACAACTCTGCTCTTTCTTCTCATCTAAAAGGCTTCTCTGCACACAAATGC